CGACACTCCGCTCTATGCGCGCGCCCTCTCTGTACACCCCATCACAACCCAAGAATCGTCACAAAATTATTAAAAATTATAATTTTGTTTAAAATTTACTTAACTAATTAAGAAAAGTGTTGATGATGGTAGAATTAATAAATTAAAAAGTATATAACAAAATTGGCATATTATAAGTACAGTACATATTTAAGTAAATATTTAACTACTTTTTAGTAACATATTTGACTTTTACTTTTATAAATACATATATTTCTAATTTTTAATAATCAGCAGAGTATTGAAGAATATGCAAACTCTTTAAATATGTGTAGAATAAGTCCAATAAAATATACAACAAAAGGGACAAAATATGCACTAAAATGTGCATTTATTTGTCGTCAAAATATTAATAAATAACATAATTTTGCAGTTAATTAATCAATTATAGAGTTAGTCAATAAAATATCAAATATTTAAGTATGAGTTTGAGGTTATGCCTAAATTTGCGCTTAACTGAGCCATTGTTACAAATGCACAAACATTAGAACAAATATTATTTTACTAGTTTTCAGTCAATTTACGCCAAAAAATATGTTTTTAATATATTGATACATGTATTGATAAATCACTTTATGTGACTAAATTTACATTTTTACATTTTTAGTGTATTTTTAATTAGCTATTCAATAAACTTTCAATTAAAAGTCAAAACAATTTGTTTAAAAACATAAAAACGAATACATTTCTAAAAATGTGCCCAAATATGCGCTTAAAAGTGAGTTATAGCGGTAACCCATGAAATATACCTAAATGTAAATTACATTGTACAATATCCAATAAAACACGGCTAAAGTGATCACCAGTACATGATAGGTGGACATCCGGACACTCGCACTGATACTATGTACCAAAAATATATGCAGATTTCAATGCACTGATAATCAGTCAATACAATAGCTAAATGTATCCGTATTTATACTAACGTTTTATGTATAGTTTGTACCTTTAGTTTCTCAATCCATTGTTTAATAAACTTTATCAATGTTTAGTAATTTCTCAAACATTCCTAACTATATGTTGAATAATAAATTATAAAATCGTTTTGTAAACGTTGTTCTACTAAATGATGAAATCTACCACAAAAGTTACCAATCAATCGACGAGATTCACCATAACTTAGTGACTAAATTACACAAATCTAAATCATTTAAACGCCATTTAAGGTTCAATTCAATACATTTTAGACATAGATTAAAAACTGGTTTTTATTCGCACAAAATAATTATTTATTACAATTTATTTAAAAATCTTGCCCTGGTTAAACTTCTTGCCATCGAAGTCTCCCTCCCATGAAAAGTACTCCTTAACCATAGTCTTAGTTTTGGGATCTTTGGGGTCTAACTTCTTCCACTCGTAGGACTCGTAGTCCACCTGCCAGTCGGTCGACAGCTATACAACACAACAACCCATTAATGACCACATTTACAGCAAAACCATAGTCTCCTTGACTTACGGTGAATGCGAGGTCGTGTCCCTTCCAAACCCAAATGCCGCCGATATTACTCTTGTGGTCCTCACCGAACAATATCATACTTCCGAACGCATTCTTTCGCATTTTGTCCAATCGTTGATACATTCCTTAACAATACAAACAACATGTTTAGCAAAAAACAAATCACAACAAATCTAACCGCTATTTACCGCCAATTAAGTTGCTGCTCATGAACACGAGTGTCAATTCATCGGCATATTTGTAATTGCAATACCAGATGGAGTAGTGGTCGGCGTCGAACTTCTCCCAGAAATACGGGATCGACTTCTCCTCCGGATTGTTAGAGTAGAAGCGTTTGAAGTCATCCATAACCCATGTTCTGCACACACAGGCATTCAATTTGTTATTTAGGTCTCAATATGTATCAGTCATATTATATACCCTTTAGGGTAGGCTTCGAAGGGGTCCTTAGATTTGGGTTCTAATGGCATGTCTTCGTCATCGTCTCCGCCGATATCAGGCGCCGCTTCCTTCTTAGGCTTCTCCTGTTTCGGTGCCTTTTCTTTCTTATCCTTTTTGGCCGATGTTTCGGATTTTTTGGCTAAAAGTTTATAAAAGCATATAATTATCGCATCAAATGAATGAGTGATTGAGTACTTACGGGCGGATTCGGGTGTAACGGCTTTGTCGCACAGCTTTACGTCTCCCAACACTTTCTTGAACTGCGGCTGATTTACAAGAGTAGTGAACCAACGGTTGACGTTAGCATAAGGCGAGCGAATCGACGGCTCCAATACGTATCGATAGAGAGGCAGAAGTCCGACGGCGACCACAATGTCGGCTAAAGTGATGCGTTCGCCCACTAAATAGGTTCGGCTCAACAGCAAGTCGTTTAAATACGTTAAAATCTTTTTGGTGTCAGTCTTGGAGCGCTCGACCGCCTGTTTGTTGGCATTAAGAGCACCCAAAGCGGGCAAAACCCAGGTATAAGCGGCCGGATTGACCTCATTGTCTACAAAACTCAACCATTGAATCACATGAGCCTTATCTAAGTCTGTCTTTCCCTTCAACTGATCGTTCGACACGTAATAAGCGATTGCATTGCTTTCGATCACATGGTGTCCGTCCTTTGTCTCCAATGCGGGCACCTATTGGTCACAAATGTGTTAACACAACAATTCAAATGCCATTTAATTATGAACTAAATGTGAGATTCGATGAAATCTCTGCGAATCACATGAGACTCGAAGAGTAGGACCGATTCCGACGATTGCTATGTCTCTCTTGTCTTACCACAGAATCAATGGATTTGATTGAGTCGTCTTTGAGAGAGAACTATGCGATGGGAGGGAAGCGATCGATACATACCTTTCCAAAGGGGAACTTCTTAAGGAAGTCGGGCCTCGTGTTGGTCTCACCCAACTTGAAGTCCTTCACCACATCGATGGCAACACCGCTGTATTGACTGGCGATCAACGCCTTAAACGCCCGCCAATTGTTGTCATAAGTGTATAGTTTCTGTCAATTGGTTTACAAATCAAATAAATTAATTGAAAGAATCAAAAAATGGTGAAAAATGGTTACATTTGACGACATATTGAGCGCCGGTTTTGGACACGAGTTATGATGTGTTCAACACTTCAAACCAAAAGACTGCAAACGGAAGTCGTGTTACACCACGTGATCCACACTCTAGACTGCAATCGATGCCAAACACCGATCCTATCGATCATCGCTTTGATGCCATTTCAGGCAAACTTTGTTGCATTTCCTCCACTATTAGTGTCTCGTGTGAAGCAAAGGACACACAAATACCGGGCTTTTACTCATCGACACACTCTATACGAGACATACATTGAAAAGAAATGCACTTTTAATGCAAAACTCATTGTTAAGCGTAAAAATGAATTCTTGTCACCAAAACAGTCAATACTGTATCCCTTTAAACGGATGGCTGACTCTGCAGTACGACTAGAGGTCGACATGCAGTTTATATTATGCAATAAAACTATTAATTGCATTAAATGGTCACTTAATTGGTGGCAAGAAATGCCATTATCTGTGATATAAGAAGCATATAATTGGATGAAGAAGTAGTAAGAAGTGGAGAAATGCATTGATGTATGAGTTGGTGAGATTTGGTTTGATGTGGAAATGGTTTGGATGTCTATTGGGTTAGTGTTTGGTCTCATAGAGTGTGTGTCTGTACTGTAGAGCAGTAGTGATGTATAGAGTCTGTGGTGTTGTGTGTATTGAGTGAATGAATGAGTTTTATATGCATTTTGTTTGTAATAAACTGTAATCTAAACCATAATTAATGTGAATGTAATTGAGTTTTATTGACACGGATTTGCATTCATTTGTATAAATCGTTTGTTTAATTCATTTCATTATTAAATAGTTATCAAAAAGTGATCGCAAATAGCATTTGATTGCAAATCTAATTCATTATATTTATTGTGATTATTGTGTGAATTAATAGGAAAAATACATAAACAAAATGGTATTGAAATCACATTCACTAATGTTTTCCTCAATGAGTGTCTAAATTGCTTTCAATTGATCCACGATTTAGGGAAACGAAGCCTCACTTCCGATGGAAATGTGCTCTAATTGTGAGTCTTTGTGTGTTTTGATGCCAACAAATGTGTATTGATTTGTGTTATCCCGTGTTGACAGTCGACGCGGACGAGATCAAGAGACTCGGCAAACGCTTCCGCAAACTCGATCTCGACAACAGCGGCTCCCTTTCCGTCGATGAGTTCATGTCTTTACCAGAACTTCAACAGAACCCTCTCGTCCAACGGGTGATCGACATCTTCGACACCGACCGCAACGGAGAGGTCGACTTCAAAGGTTTGTGAC